TTTTTTTATGTATATGTATGTTTTTTTTACTGTTTATTTATGAGTTTTTTGTATGTTACCGGCTAAATTATAATTTAGCTTTGTATTGTCTTTGACAAATAAACTTTATATAACATGAAATAATCTAGTTTATCTAGTGATTTTATTCTACTCAGTTTTTGCTTAATTTTGAGAATGATTTTTTGCTTTAGTTTGTTTATTTCTAGTTGTATAATGATTTATAATTGGTGTTTTCTCCAAGTCCCTACTTTTTGTCAAATATTTTGAAGGTATTTTTGTTTTGTGCAAACACTAGCTTAGGAGATGAAAGAAAATGTAAGAACTTTTTGATTTCATAATCTATCTTGAAAAAAAAAAGCATATTCTTGAACATTGTTCTATCATATAATCTCACCGCTGGTGATTTTTATTTTTTTTTTAAAAAATTATTGCCATCCCTACAATTGAGAGAGAGAGAGAGATTATTACGATAGATGAATTCATCATCTTCGCATATAAGATAAATTAATTTATAAACTATCGTTAAAGTACAATTACGTTTAATTGCTCGTATATGCGTAGAATATTTATGGATGGATATGCCCCTTGGTTGTGCTTGTGGAAGCTGGAGTTCGGGGGATATTTTGAATGATGTCTCTATTAACCCATGGTTGCATAATGAGTTCATGATTTTAATGTGAAGCTCTTGACTCATGATTTCTTTCTATAATTGCATTTACTATATGGGATTTGAAACTATTTTTAGAGTTTGCATCTTACTTAATTGTAAACTATTCAGCATCAGTACAACACCCTTGATTGTATGGAACAAATGTGATTACATGGGTGCTGGTGTAAATATTTTATTCCGAAATTCTTAAAAATTATAAGTGAGAAGTTTCTTTATTCGAGTTTCAAATATTTTTTGAAAAATTGCATGTAAAAATTCAAGAGAAATGGTTTTTCATTAATTTTTTTTTAAAAAAAGTCTGATAATATTTAAATTAAAATGAGAGCTTTCATTCATACAATTGGCCCTATATATATTACAATAATATTTTTAATTCATATGATAATTTGTAGAAAATTTTTTTAATTGATACCTACTTTAATTAGCTTTTTAATTAGTATTAAATATTAGAAGATGATTTAATTTTATAATAACAAAAATTAAAAACTTTGATTATTTTCTATATGCAAAAAATGGATATCAAATCGAGGCTTATTAAAAAAATTATTAATTTGATATATTGTACACGAAGAATTAATAACAATTAGGCCTAATTGCTTAAACTACCTTGTCTTTTTACTAAATTGTAAATAAATCTCAACAACATTAAGTTTGCCATTAAATTCTCAACCTTTTAATTGTGTTGCATGTTAAGCTCCGATTGATTTTCCAACCTCCTCCGTGTTGATGTGTCCGGCGAAGTGATGATATGTCCCAGCAACAAACAACGTGACTTTTTATGTCTTAAAACATACACATATTAATTTCTATTTCATAATTTTTTCATTTCTCACACACCCCAATTCCTAATTTTTTTCCCTCTGCAACCCTAAATCGAGATTTTTCATCCCCAAATTTGAGGAGTTGGAAAAATATCCACTATCAATAGAAGAAGCAACGAGAACGAAGAACATTCCACAAATCTCAATTTAGGGATGCAAAGGGGAAAAAATTAGGAATCGGGGAGTGTAGAAGAAAGAAAGAAATTATGAAGTGGAAATGAATATATGTCTATTTTAAGACATAAAAAGCCATGTCAGATTGTTGTCGGGATATATCATCAATTCGTCGGACACATCAACAAAGAGAATGTAGGAAAATCAATTGGAGCTTAACATGCAACACGTTAAAAAGTTGGGAATTTAATGGCAAACTTAAAAAAATTGAGATTTATTTGCAATTTAGTAAAAGATCAGGGTTTTTGAAGCAATTATGCCTAACAAATATAAAAATTATTAACTTTTAAATATATTTGAAATGTAAATTAGTCAAATATTCTATAATTTAAAAGTTAGAATATGTATAGATTCAATTGAGATATGCATCTCTAACGCCCCGTTTTAATTTAAAGAGTTTACCATTTTAATTTAAAGAGTTTACCAAATTTATTTATAAAATGAGAGTAAATTTTTCGCAAAATTCTAATTTAAAAACTTTTAATGTAACGCTCTTTTTTATTTTAAAGAGTTTACCCAATTTATTTATAAAAATCAGAGTAAATTTTTCGAAAAAAACCAATTTAATAAAAAAAACTTTAAATAAATTCGGCGCTGCTTAACTACTAACAACGAATAAACAAGTAAGCATAAACATAAAGGACCTACACGTGTAAACTAACAATTATAACAAACAATCCAGAATTTGTAATTCTCAAATCCAAACCAAAGGCTCAACATAATTCAATGGTCTAATATGTTCAACATAAACAAGGCAGAAGCCTAATGTTTGTCCCATTTTTGTGTCTTTATTTTGGGTTTATTTTCCTTTTATTTTCCCCATTTATAGGATTTTCGTGGTTTATTTGGTCCGATTATGCGATTTTGCGTTTTTCTCTTTAGTTTCGTTTTGTGCGTCTTTTTGCTGTGTTTTTGTTTCGCATTTTTCTGTGTTTATGTTTTCAGGAGGTAGGTTGTGTCGGTCGAGGACGAGATTGTTAGAGCTGAGGCCGGGAAATCAAGAATACCCATTGTCGTGCTCAGAACACTGAAGAAAGGACCGAAAAAACGGACTGAAGAGCTGCCCAGCATTTCTCGCGACTCGCGAGTCTGAGTCGCGACTCGCGACTCGCGAGATGGTCGCGAGTCGCGAGAATGTCACGACTCGCGAGTCCAACAGAGCAGAGATGATGTTTTTTGCGAGACGAGTCGCGACTCGCGAGCCTTTGTCGCGACTCGCGAGGTTGAGTCGCGACTCGCGAGACCTGTCGCGACCTTCCCCAGAAAATGAAGATATTTGAAGACGAGCAACTCGCGAGAAGTTGCGACTCGCAACTCGGCAAATGTGAATGTCGCGACTCGCGACTTGATCGGCGCGATTTTCGAGGACGGGATTTTAAGTTCAGAATTTCGACCTAGACATCATAATTGACATTCCAGACTTCGTTTTTACACTTTTTCTCTCTAGAAACTCATTCCTTTTGATGCTTTTACTCTTTTGATTGGATTTTGGAGATCAAAACTCTTTCCTTGCTTTGGATTGGATGTTTTTGGATTCAACATTGAACTATCATTATTAATCGTAAGTTTTCTTCTCTCAATTGTGTGATTGATGATGATGGCTTGGGTTTTTATGAATGTTGATGTTGAATTCCATATGAGTAGATAAATCCATACGCTAGGGATTGGGGATGATTGATTAGGTTCGATTATAATTGCTTGTTCTTAATTGTTCATATCTATTCAAGTTGTGCTTATTCTAGGGTTAGTAGATTGATCACCTTTCTAACCTAATTAATCAACGTGTAGAACCGAGAGGGGAGACGTTGGTCGATATAGGCTTGTTTAGAGTAGACTTGTTCGTAATAGTATTGTCTATGAGTTGTTGGAATTGATAGTTGATCGTGTACGTTCACTCTATTGTTACGAAGAGTTATTGAGAGTGAGCCTCTGGACGAGAAACGATTCAAGTCCTTTAACCGAGCAATTGATTGCCGGTAGTTGTGTTAGAACCGAAAGCAATTATCCTCGATTCCCTAGCTCTTTAATCATTTGAATAAACTCGTTTGCTATTTAAATCGCTTTTCATTTATTTCAAGTCGCTAGTTATAATTAAAATCAAAACCATTGAATAGAGTGTTTAGGATTTTCTATTTTCCGTGATCGAGTACGTACGATTGAATCCGGCTAACCTTCCTTGCGATACAACTCGCGGAACGAATCTTTCGATTCTACTCCGGTAAAAATACAGACAACAAAACTGGCGCCGTTCCCGGGGAGGGTTTAGGACTTTAATTGTGCGCCTATTCGTTTTTTTTAGTGTTTCCCTTCGTTTTATTTTACTAGTTTATTAGTTCTTGATTTTTGGTTCTTTGTTTTTTTTTTCTTAGGTTTTTCTTCTTTGTTTATCTGGTGCTCGTGACGGTTTCTTGTCTTTGTGTATGCGTACCAGGAGTGAACGCAAACTGCTATTTCCAATCAACAAATCTGTCAACGAGAGCCTGAGGGAGCTGCTGGAAGAGCTTACTCTGGAATCGCACGGGG